GTAGCTCAGTGGATTGAGCGCGGGCCTGCGAACCAGACAATCGCGGTTCGATTCCCAGTCAGGGCACATGCCTGGGTTGCAGACCTGTTCCCTGCAGGCCAGTTCCCAGCAGGAGATGCACAAAAGGCAACCATACATTGATGTTTCTCTCCCTCTCTCCTTCCCTTCCCCTCTGAAGATAAATAAATAAAATCTTTAAAAAAAAATAGGAAAGCTTAGATGGGAAAGCTCATCTATCTCATTGAGGCTCTTTCCCACCCAGGTGACATCACAAGGCACATATATGCTGGAGTGTGTGTGTGTGTGTGTGTGTGTTCTCTTTTAGTAGCAAATAATACCACGATTCATAAAAATTTACACATTTTCACATGGTTTAAAACCTCAAATAACTCTTTGTCTTCTAACAGTTTGATTCCAAAAATAACCAACAATTGGAAAGGAAAAACAAAACAAAAAAGCTTATTTAGAAAAAACCCTCTTCTGGATGTAAGATTCTGATTAGTCCATCAGGTTATATAATTGTTTTAAACCCAAAATGTTCTATTTGATTTTTAGTAATGTTTTACTTCAAAGTAAATAAATTACTTGTTGATGAAGTCTTAGAGATTAGATGATCTCTAGACTTTGAACCCCTGTAAAAAATTACCCATAAACTACTGAGACATTCTTAAAAAGTAGCTCTCCCCTCCCCCCGCCCCCGGCCCAGTATCTAACAATATAGAAAATACTTTAAGGGAAGCAGGGCATTAACATTCACCGAGTAGTTACTATGTCCCAAGCGCTGTGTTAGCTGCTTCCTATGTACGCGTGTATTACCATTTCAGGTTTACTGAAGTAGTGCATGTAAGAGATGTAAGGTGATTTGCCCAAGATCCCACAGCATAAGAGACAGAAAACCCAGGGCATCAAATGCCAGCGCCAGGGCTCATCCCCTCCCACCCCAGCCCCCCAGCCAGTCCCCATGGAGAGCACGGGCCAGACAGTCACGGTGGGGGCTCCATTCCCTAATTCACACAGTCTCAGGGCGACCCCCAGTCTGGTTATCTGTTTGGAAGAGAGGTTGAGAAGCGAATCTACAGATCTTCGTGAAAAATTAACAACTTGGCCACTCGCATGACTAACAGCCGGCTCCTTACCCCATCTCTCAGATCGCAAGGGTGGAGCCATTTCCAAGGGCCAACTGAAAGTTGGACAATCATTTGCAGAATCCCTGCGGGATGTGCATCCAGCATTTCCTGTGAGACTTTCTGTTAAGAGGCTGGACCCCACTTTTGGGCGGGGTCAGCTGCTACAGCTCTCAGCACAGCCCGACTTACTGGTAAGAAGAGTCGTGATCCTTGAGGAGTGTCAGTCCCAGCCCCAAGAGGGTGAACAAGCTCAGCTTCGCCATGGCCTGGGACAGAGAAGGGTGAATGGCACGATGCACCCAGGGCGGGAGAACTGACCTGCCTGCAACAGGAGTCCCGCTTGCGCTGCCGGGGATTGGCCCTCCCGGCCCCGCCCACCGGGCCCTGCTGGCAGGGCGCACAGACCCGGCTGGCTTCAGGTCAGCACCTGCCTGCGGCCACGAGCTGCTAGGAGCTGCCTGCTTCCGCAGACTTTAAAAAGAGGAAACCAGGAACAGTGTCTAGACCAGGAAAGGAGGGGGGAACGAGCAGATCAGAGCTGATGGTGAGCAGTGGGAAAGGAGAGGGAAGCTTCGATGAACGTTCGCTTTGTGCCGATAAAGGTTCTAATCCTGGGCTCTCCGAGAGTTCGGTAAATTTGATCCTCTAACACAGCCAGACAAGGTATGGAAGGAAGGGAGAGCTGTGATTGGAACCCTGAAATTCTAACTTTATTCTATCACTGTTTGTCACTCGCAAACACCTGGGCAGCAAGCATCTCATCTCTCAGCACCATCCCCAACCTTATAGCTCATCAGGGATGTGGCTCCAGTATTCATTCATTCCAGCACTCGCTGACATCTGAGTACCTGCTGTGTGCAGAAATCAGTGAAATATATTACTACTGCATATAGTACTGTGGCTAATGTACATATTCTATGGGGAAGTATAAAGCAAAAAGGGGAGATAGGGAGTACTGAGATCTGCTTAAGGAAGGGGAGTCCGGGAAGGCCTCACAGACAAGGGGATGCCTCACTGATAAGGTACATCTGAGCATAGCCAGGTAGGAGGTGCGTCTGCACAATCATCTCTCCTGTCACCATGAATCAGGGCTTCCTGGCTCACTGGTGACCAGTCCCTCCCTTTCTCTGAGCCCCTTTCCTTCTTAAGATTTTGGTCCCAGTTACATCTTATCTCTCTTACACCATCCATCTTTCCTTTTTTCCCTGAAATATTGCCATCCAACACCAAAGTGTTTTATTGTCACTCACAGTTTTCTGGGGGAAATGCTCTTTGAGCCCCCATTGTAACTACTGTCCTTTTTCTTTGCCCCGTGTAGAAAGTAAATCTCTTTGAAAGACTGTCTACGGTTGCTGCATTTTGTCACTTCCTGCAGGTACCAGATTAATGGTGGTCACAAATTCTTTCACACTCCTCCCATTGAGAAGCTGGGTATGTCATTGCTTCCCTCAAGTTGGGGCTGACTCTGTGAATGCTTTGATTCATAAAATACAGAGGTGCTATTTTAGTTTGAAGGCATGGCCTTAGGTACCTGCAGCCTTCGCCTCCTGTCACTTGGAACACTAGCTCTTTAACCTTGAGCTTCTGCAAAATAATCTGACCACCCACTGGAGCATCCATGTGAAAGGCCACAAACACATGGAGGAGGAAAGTGGACAGATAAGACCAGCCTCCTCTCAGCCATCTCCACTCAGCAGACACAGGAGTGAAGTTTTCTTGGGCACTCCAGACTGGTCCAGCTACTAACTGAATACAACTGAGACACCCCAGTGGATGCCATGTGGAGCAGATGAATGGGCCTGCTGAGCCCTGCCCAAATTTTTTACTCATTGTTTGTAAACATAAGAAAATGATTGTTTGGTTCAGCAACTAACTTTAGGGAATATCTCCATACTCCCATTCTTTATTTAACCCATTCTAGTATAGCTTGTGTTCCTTTCACTCATTCTTAGAATTTGCTTTTATTAAACCACCCATAACATCCATGTTATTGTCAAATCCAGTGGTTTCTTTGCTGTAATCATACTCAATTTAAAACCACATTGGGGCCCTGGCTGGTGTAGCTCAGTGGATTGAGCACAGGCCTGCGAACCAGAGGATCGCGGTTCAATTCCCAGTCAGGGCACATGCCTGGGTTGCAAGCGAATTCCCTGTAGGCCAGTTCCCAGCAGGGGACAAACTAGAGGCAACCATACATTGATGTTTCTCTCCCTCTCTCCTTCCCCTCTAAAGATAAATAAATAAATAAATATTTAAAAAAATAAATAAAACCACATTGGGCATTGGAAAAAAAAAAACTTTCCTCTCTTGGATTCTGTGATCCCATTCCTCCCAGTTTTTCTCCTGCTGTACTGGTCTTTGCAGGGCCCTCCTGACGCTGCCCTTTATTTATTTTTTTTTTTTAATTTTTTATTTTTTTTTATTTTTTAATCATTTGAAGTTGATTTTTCTTTTTTTTTTTTTTTAAATTTTATTTAGTTATTTTTCAAGTAGCCCAAGGACTGGTTCTGAGCTATTTCCTCTTTCTACATTCTTCCTGAGGAGATCCCATCAATTCCAATGGAATTAACTGCCATCAGTATGCTGGAGTTTTCAAAATGTACACACCCAGCTCAAGCCTCTTACTGTGGCTTTAAAAAACAGCCTTAATCTCTCTAAGTAGCATAGCCTTTCTCCAACAACAGTATTCCATTATTTCACTACTTATTGTTTCTTAAATCATCTTGTTAATTTATGATTTGTTGCTGCATAGAGTAGAAGCTCATTGAGGTTTATCTTGTTTCACACTATGACAAGAAGGCATAGAAAAAACCTGGCACACAGTGACCCCTTACCAGACATTTAGCGACTGGCTGCCTGGCAAACACTCACTCTGTATTCACGGACTGGTTGCTTGGTTTACATGCCCACTGGGATGTCTAACAGTCTCTTCAAATGTGTCCAAAGCGGAACACAATGTGCTTTCGATTCCCCCATCCGAACATGTTATGTTTTCCAAACTCTCCACACGTCAGTGAATGGCACCAATACGGTCCAGCTCCTCAAATCCAAATCTGGACATCTTCATCCGTCCCCTTCTCTCAAATCTCTTTGCACCAAATACATCAGTCCCGTGGGCTCTACTTCTGTATGAATTCTCTAGTGTTTCACGAGAAATTAAGTGAAAACCTAGCCATTAAAAACAACAAACAAGTAAACAAAATATAGCCAGAGACATTGAAATAAAGAACAAATTAACAGTGACCAGAGAGGTGAGGGGAGGGGATAACGGGAGGAAAAAAGGGAAGGGGTCATCAAGGCACATGTATAAAGGACACATGGACAAAGCCAAAGCAGGGAAGGATTGAGGGTGGTAAGTGGGCATGGGTGAGGTGGGGGCCAGTGGTGGCTGGAAAATGCAGACAACTGTACTCGAACAACAATAAAAAAGTGCCATTAAAAAAAAGACATACAAAAAATTAAATACAAAAAAAATGAAAGCAAACATTATCATTGCATAGTTTCTATGGGTCAAGAACCTCGGCTCGGCACAGCTGGATAGCTCTGGCTCAAGATATCTCATGGGCCGGCAGCCGAGCTGGCAGCCCGAGCCGTGAGGGTTCATTTGATGTGCCACTTACTGGGCTAAGGGATCTCTAGATAGCTGGTAAAACATGGCTTCTGAGTATGTCTATCTGTGAGAGTCTTTCCAGAAGAGATTAGCATTTGAATCAGCTGTTTGAATAAAGATCTACCCTTGTGAAAGTGAGCTAGCACCATCCCACCCTTTGAAGGTCTGAATAGAACAAAAAGGTGGAGGAAGGAGGAATTTGCTCTTTCTTTACTCAGCTGAGACATCCATCTTCTCCTACCCTTGGACATCGGAGCTTCTGGTCCGCGGGCCTTTGGACTCTGGAACTTACATCAGCAGCGCCCTCATTTCTCAGGACTTTGGACTGGGATAAGTTACTATTTTCTCCTCAACACCCCCCACCCCACACCCCAAACCTGTCTCCTAACTGAAGCCAGAGTAATCTTTTAAAAGTGTAAGTCAGATCATATCCCAGTCCACTACTGGTTTTCCAGGGTCTCCAGTTTGCAGACAGCATGTTGTGACATATCTCAGCCTCCATACCCACGCCAATGATAAATGTCATCTATCTACCTATTCATCTACCTATCACTGGTTCTGTTTCTCTGGAGAACGCTGACACAGCCTTAGTCTCGTCTAAAAAGTCACTCTAACTGGGGTGGAGGAGGATCTGGGGTCAACTTCCAAGACCACTCACGTGGTGTTTGACAGGCTCTAGTCCCTTGCCCCAGGGATATCTCCTCAGAGCAGCGGCACAGCAAGGTAGCTGGCTTCTCCTGTGGTGAGGAGTCTGCAGAGCAAGACAACTTGGCCCCCAGATGGAAGCCACTATCTTTTAACAGCAACCTCAGAAGTGACGTCCCCTACTTCTGCCATATTCTCTTTGCTGGGAAGAAGAAAACTAACTCCTACCCACTACAAGGGGAGAAGATTAAAGCTCCACCTCTTGAGGGGAAGCATATCAGAGATGAATGGACCTATCATTAAGACCACCACGACTTCCAGGTAAATCTTGAATCAGCCCACTCCCCCCCAGGCCCATTGCTCTCACTATGGTCTAGGCTACTGCCACCTGTGTGCTCAACCAACCTCTTTACTATTTTCTCCTCAACACCCCCCACCCCCCACCCCAAACCTGTCTCCTAACTGAAGCCAGAGTAAATCTTTAAAAAGTGTAAGTCAGATCATATTTTCCTGCTTAAAGTCCTCTTTCTCATGGCTTCTCATTTCACTTTCCAATCAGGACGAAAGGCCCCACTCAACCGGGCCTGTGCCTCTCATGTGACTTAACTTCTTATCATTAATCTAGCATAATATTCTAGCAAAGTTAGCCTTCTCTTCATTCTGTAAACATGGCAAGTTGATTGTACCTAACCATTTTTGTCTTTGCTATTCTTTGGCTAGAATGCTCTCCCTTTCCCCTCACTCCCTGCTCCTTGAGTTTTTCTTTCTGGTCATTCAGGTCTTAGTTCATGTGTCACTTTTCCTGAGAGACCATTTCCAGTGTTACTGTCTATAATACCCTCCCTTGCATCCTCTGCCTCCCACCGGTCCCCCAATGCCCCAGAGCCGATACCAATCAGAGTTACTGATTTTAGAATGGTGCCATATTTCTGTGCTGGTTGATATGTATAGATACTTCCTAACTCCTCACAATGCTGGGGTCCCCCAGACCACTGACCATTCCCTTTCCCCTTCCTTCACCATGATCCAGCAACTAAGGGGTTAACATCTGGCATGGCAGAGTCTCTAGATTCTTCTCTTACAGAGTGTCCTGCTCGGCTGAGACTGACTGAGGATGTGCTATACGAGGGTGTTAAGGATTCTGCCGCCCCTGCCTTCCTAACACTCTTTTTTATTTTTAATTAAAGTATAGTTAAAATATAGTTGACAGTATGGCGTTGAACATGATTCAACATGTAAATACCTTACAAAGCGATTGCCACAAGAATTCTAGTAATTATCTGTCACAATACATTATTATGACACTACTATGTTTTCTAGGCTGTGCATTATACCCCCTTAACCCATTTATTCTATAGCTAGAAATGTGTGCTTCTTAATCCCTTTCACAGTTTTAATCCAGCTCCTCACCGTCCTCCCCTCTGGCAACCATCAGTTTGTTCTCCACATCTATGAGTCTGTTTCTATTGTTTTGTTTTTTTCAGATTCCACATAGAAATGAAATCATACAGTATTTACCTTTCTCTTTCTGAGTTATTTCACCTACCATAATACCCTCTAAGTCTATCCACGTCGTCACAAATGACAAGGTTTTGTTCTTTTCATGGCTTAGTGGTATTCCATTGTATATATATACCATATCTTCTTTATCCATTCTTCTATCAATGAATACTCAGGTTGCTTCCATATCTTGGCTTTTATAAATAATGTCACAGTGACATTGACACAGTGTCACAGTGTCACAGTGACATATATGCTAATGAACATAGCATATATCTTTTCAAATTAGTGTTTACATTTTCTTTGGATAAATACTTAGAAGTGGGATTGTTGGGTCATATGGTAGTTCTATTTTTAATTTTTTGAGAAATCTCCCTACTGTTTTCCACAGTACCTGCACCAGTTTATAATCCCACCAACAGTGCACAAGGGGTTTTTTAGTCCATATTCTTGCCAACACTTGTTATTTGCTGACTTTTTGATAATAGCCAGTCTGACAAGTGTGAAGTAATATCTCATTGTGGTTTTGATTCACATTTCCTTGATCATTAGTGAGAAGATATTTGCAAGCCCTATATCATCAAATAAGGGGTTGATACCTAATATATATAAAGAACTCATACAACTCAACATAATCTGATTCAAAAAATGGGCAGAAGACCTGAATAGACATTTCTCCAAAGAAGACATAAGGTGGCCAACAGACACATGAGAAGATGCTCAACATCATTCACTGTTCACAACACTGCACCACACAAAACCACCTTGTTCGTCTATTTGTTTATTTGTATGCAGACTGCTTTCCATTAGTAACGTGTAAACTTGAAGAGAGCACTGATCTTGACTAATTTGTCATCTACCTTCTTTTTCACTCCTGGAAGAGTTTCTGGCACACAATGGGTATGCAAAAATTGGAGAAGAAATGAAAGAATGAATGAATTACAAGGGATGGGAGATAAAGGAGACAGAGCAGAAACCGAAAGGGTAGGTTGGGGATTAGACAAGAGATGCCCCTCCCTCCTCCTCTGACCCAGTCACCTTACTAACTTACTAATTCATTTACTGTGTAAATTATATAACATATGACTATCTTTTCCAATCTGTTTGTTGACTCTGTGAGAAGTTAGAGTAGCGATTCTTAAATTTCTCTGAAGGGACTCAAACAACCTGTAGACTTTGATGGATGCAGTAAATTCTCTCTTGGTCTCTTATACCCACAAAGCACTAACATTTGATTTCAGTGGTTTCACCAACTACTCTGAACTCCATGGTGACCAAGCCCAGGTATGAAGGACCCTCATCTAAAAGAAAAGTAATAACTCTTGAGTGATTAATGATATCCAGTGGGCTATCAATTACTTTGAAATGGTCCACCCTCTGTGGAAGTCTTGCCCTGGACCTTTGCACCCACTCTTTTGTCCAAAACACTTTTCTCCCATGCCCTCTCTATTGCCTAGTTTTGATATGACCAAATCCTACCAGGTCATCCAGGTGTCAGTTTGGAGTCTACTTCAGCTGGTCTTTCTTAACCCTTAAATTTTAAATAGCCTTCGCATATGTCCATTGCATCATGTATCTGTATTACTCTTACCACTTTATTATTAATACTCTTTTCTGTTTTTCTCACTAGACTATTAACCTATGTAACAATGCCTTGTTTACTGTTACAACAGTAACAGTAAACTGATGCCTAGAATAGCAATGAACACAGGCTAAGTGCTCAATATATAGTTGAATGAGTAAGTGACTCCATGTCTGAAAACCATGACAGGAGACCCTGTGGTATACAAGAATGCTTCGATATCCCATATTGTACTGACTTTAAAATGCCATCAGTGTTAAATTCATAATTGCTGTTTTATTCTTTTATGTACCACAAAGAAAACAAGCTATCAATTATCCTACAACTGAATCCTGGGAAACTGTCAATTATGTAATAATTTCCTACTTCAGAGTTGTTAAAATATGTAAAAAATCGTATATTAAAGTCTATGAAAATTTTAAATTTATAGGACATAATGGAGCTTTTTAAAGACACAATTTCTTTTTATCACCAGCAATGTATAACCCAACATTAAAATAAGAGCCCTTATAAAACACTCGGATGTCACTGTGACTTTTATAATTCCTTTCCTCCCTCAGTCCTCATGGACTAAATACTTACATGCATATGTTTAAATGTTACTTCCTAAATATATTTGGTGAAAAGATTACCTGCTAATTCCTTTATGTTCCCATAAAAATGCACTGGTATTCAGTTAATGCATTGGCAGAGAGCCAAAGCCAAATTGGAGGCGTTCCACTCTGCGCAAGCGCAGAAGGGTTAACAGAAGGGCTGCTCTGGGTGTTCTTCCACAGGAGGCTGAACTTCTTTGGCATTAGCCGCACTGTTCTCAGGTGTCCGAATGTGTGAAATTCCCTTGCCCTAAGAATTCCAATGATGCCATGAGGCACGTGGCAGCTCTCAGAAAGAGAGGAAAGAAACCAAACCACGCTGGACTTGAATACTGGATTCACTGTCACTTCCTGAAATTCGACAGTAGCAGAGATAACATTTGTAAAATAAAGATAATTCCTGTAGGTTTGCCATATGAAATAAAAGAAGCAAGTATCTGTGAAACCTCCATGCAGATATAATGCAACGGCGGTGCGATCAAAGTTCTATCCAAGTGTAGGAATTAGTTTAAAAATTGCTTTCATCTGCATAAGCTCTCCACACCCTCGTAATTGGGGTAGGTCTGGCGTTATCCCATTTCATGCACAGTCGCCTGGTTAGAAAGTATAGGAGCTCCAAATGTGTATGTCTACCTTGAGTGAGCCAGAATTTATGTGCACCTAGAAACAGAACCTCAGAGTGCATAAAACAAAAATGAACGGGACTCTCCCACTTCCCTTCATTTATGCAAACATGCACCTCAAAAGCTGAGAAACTCAAAGACAGTAGAAGGATGGAAATAATGAAGATCAGACCAACAATCAATGAGCTAGAAAGCAAATTTTAAAAGCCGACTGTCTGTTTTGTGGAATGTTAGTTATTCAGTCATAAAAAAAATGAAGTCCTGATACATGCTACAACATGAATGCACCTTAAAAATGTGCTCAGTGAAAGAAGCCTGATGAAAAAGGCCATGTGTTGTGTAATACCATTTATTCAAAATAGTCAAAAGAGGCAAATGCACTCAGACAGGAAGCAGATTAGTAGTTAACAGGGGCTGCAGGGAGAGAGCACCAGATGGAACAGAAAATCTCAATATTTTTATATTCATGAAAGAAATTATGGATTTAGCACTGACTGGTGTGGTTTAGTTGAATAGGTGTCATTCCACAAAGCAAGGGGTCACCAGTTCGATTCCCAGTCGGGCACATGCCTAGGTTGCAAGTTCCATCCCAGATCGGGGTGCACCCAAGAGGCAACCAATCGATGTTTCTCTCCCTCTCTTTCTCCTTCCCTTTCCCTCTCTCTAACAATACATTTTTTAAATTTTTTAAAAGAAATTATGAATTTAAATTATGAAACCCATCATTTAAAATAGTCATTCCTGACCAATGTGGCTTAGTTGGTTGGGCACTGTCTCACAAAGTGAAAGGTCACGGGTCCGATTCCAGTCAGGGCACAAACCTGGGTTGCAGATTCAGTCCCCAGTCGGGGCACCTATGAGAGGCAGCCAAGGGATGTTTCTCTCTCACATCAGTGTTTCTCTTCCTGTCTTTCTCCTCCATCCACCTCTCTCTAAAATAAATAAATAGCATTTTTTAAAAATATTTTATTTATTTATTTTTAGAGAGTGGAGGGGAGGAAGAAAAAGAAGCATCAATGTGTG